GCCAGGAGCGACAGAAACCTTGAGTGGTCTGGACGCGATTGGCACCACCATGCCAGCTTGCCGACTATCTTCTTGTAACGGCTTGCAGCCTCTTCTGACAAAACTGTGACGGTGGTCGGATCGCGATGACCTTTCTCAAGGATGGCCAGCAGATCAGGCGGAACTGGTGATGCTTTGAGGTCACTGCAAAACGGCTCGTTCGTGAAAAGGTCTTCAAGGTAACTTGGGGGAACCCTGACCAACATTGAACTGGAATGCTGGGGTCGAATGACTTCCCTCCCAAGAAACATGAGCTTTCCTCCAACACCTCGTGAACTTGTGATGGAACCAGTCGTTTTGACTTTCAACGAAGCTGACAGTGCAGACCTCACATCATCAATGCCTCGTGGCGAAAGTGCACCTACAAGCAAATCATCTACGTAGACAAGCACTGCGGTTGGCACTCCTGATGGATTGGTGACACCTGCCAATATGGTCTGTTCTGAAGGACATGTGATGAGACCGGCATTATCTCGGAGGATTTGGGAACATGTTCCCAACCATGCTTTACTGGCCACACGCAATCCATTCATTGCACGCGGCAAAGCCATTTGCCCCGTGTGGAACGAAGGCCAATGCCATGCCAAGTGCCCAAGCGGAAAGCTTCATGTGTGCAATTTTCTGTGGCAGAATGGACACGTGTGTGCAGCTGCTGCACACCGCCGCTGTGATGCTCATTAGGGCCAACTCCCCTGGGCCTTGTTGGGTGGGGCAAGGCCAGGGGACCTGTGTGATTCCCCACCCAAACCTGTCAGCAAACAGTTGACGAACCAATATTCCCAGTCCGAGCCAAGTCAGGCGCTTAGTAGCCAGTCATGCATCGCTTTGTCAGCCGCAAGCCCAAGCTTGCCTCGTGCCCCGCCTCAGGTGCCACCGCAGCTAGCTGGCTCCCTTACGAAAGGGTTATTGCCAGTTTTGGGTTTCTCAGCCCCTCCCACATTAACGTGTGAACTAGTGGTCCTCAGTTTGTTCGATGAGATTGGGGGAGTCTGGGCAGCCCTCGAGGCTGCCGGGTGTGATCCTGTTGTTGGACTCAGCTCTGAAACTTCGCCGCGCGCCCTCGAAGTCCTCAGCAAACGATTCCCTAAAGTAAGAAGTGTGGGACCTGTTGAAGCCCTAAGTCTTCACACCTTAGCAAGTGCAACTGCTCAGGTAAACACTGCTACGTTTCTACCCTATGGAGGTTCCCTGGGAAACCAATGTTTTGATGTGGGGGGCCCTGCATGACCTGCGCGGGTTGGGTGCCGCTGCAGCTGGATTCCAGCGTGGCAGTGAAGCGCACAAACATGGTTTGCCACGTCTCATTCCTTGGGGCTGCACGGCGCCTGAACATGTCCAATTGGCGCTGCACCATGTGACGCAGCACGGACATCCATACGCCACTGCACCCCTCCTTGCCCGTGACACGCGTGTTGCTGTTGACTTTGCGCGCAAAAAGGGCCGTCAGTTGCCCGCATGGAGAAGAACTGCTTTGAACCATTTGACACTTGTTGCCCGCAGCTTGGAGCCTTTGTCCACAGTCCTGAGACAACACATGTCGGAACGCGTGCGTCGAGTCGCAGGCAGCTTGCACTTGGGTTTCTTTCTGTGGTTGCAATGCGTTCTGGCTTGGCCTGATATTACATTCACCTGGCGGTTGATTAAGGGGTTCGACATCGTTGGAGATGTCGAAGTCAGCAATGTGCTCCGCCTCACCGAGCCTTCCACACCAACCGAGACTTTGGATGACTTGCTAAGGTCTAGCCAGCAGTATGTTGATTCGTTGTGTCGGTCGCTGCGCCCCCATGAGTCCCCCGAATATAATGCCGAATTGTTGCGCTTGTCGCAGAAAGATGTGGATCGGGGTTCTGGCGAAGGTTTTTACACTCGCATGGAAGTTGACTCTCGCTTTGGAGTTGGTGCTTGGCGCCCACTGCCCCGTTATGTCATAAAACAAGAGCATAACAGCAAGTTTCGGGCCATAGATAATGGCCGGGCTTCTGGACATAACGCGGCCACGGTCGCTCGAGAACGTGTGCGCACAACCTCTTTAGAGTTTTTTGCCTCTGCAAGCAAGCAGTTTCTCCAGCATAGGGACTTTTTGCAGCGTGAGGCTGACAGTCTGGGTGCCCCCCTGCTGTTAGAAATCGGAGTTGATGATGAAGAAGACGCCTACCGAACATATGCAACGTCTGACAGCCATGCTTGTTGGTCCGTGGTTGCCTTTTATCATCATGTTTGGGGCACTGTCGCCTTCATGCCTTTGATTGGCCACGCGTTTGGATTGAAAGCAAGTGTCAACAATTATAACCGCTCGCCTGGTCTTTTGGTTGCAGTTGTCACCAGATTGCTGGCTGTGTGCGCCACACACTACTATGATGATTTTGCAGTAGTGGACAGCAGCCTGGGCAAAGGCACTGCCCGCGCTGCCCTTGTGCAGGTGCGGGATAACTTTTGGCAAAGACAAAGGTCAACCCATGAACCCCAAAGTTGCCTATATTGGTTGTTCGCTCGCGTGGGCGTGGGAATTTCTTGATTTTCAGGTGGGCAGGCCAGGTGAATCTAAATTCCTAAGCACTCGATAGCTTCTCTGTGTCCTTGGGCTTAGATTCAGTTCCTTGTTTCTTGTCACCCCGAACACCGTTCTTCCCGTTCCCCCCCTTTAGCTCCTGCGGGGCTTCGTGTGTGGGGATGGGACCCGACTCTGCCTTTACCACCCTTTGGGTATGGGTCTGCAGAGTGATCTCTCCAGTGGGGCCGGCTGATGCCTTCCCCTATGGATAGATTTATGGCAGTGATACTTGGAACAAAACCGGCGGCCAGAGAGAGAGAGAGCGCGTGGGCGTGGGAATTTACTTGACCAGTTTGGACATCAGTGCCGCATTTTTGCGCAGCTATTTGCCGAAGGGCATTCGCGCAATCATCAGATTGCCTGCTGATCTTTCGCTCCGTGAAGTGTGGCCCGCAACTCGAGCCTGCCGAGTCTCGCCTCGGTCTTTTCCTGCTACAGGCATGGCGTCTGGCGTGGCACTGCCCTTCTGAAGTGACAGCTGCGTCCGCGCAGCCACAGTTGGCGCCACTTCCGCTCCAGCAAAAAGCCAAAAAGGAGATGCATCCACAAAGCACTTTTCGATGGCTTCGCCCATGGTCAAGTCATGGTTTCGCATGAGATCGACCCACATTTCACGGGTGGATTCGTCAGCCTTCTGCAAGGTGGCCATGTCAACACTTTTTCCACTGGGCAAGGTTAGCTTTCGCTTTGCTCTGTCAACGTACTCACAAGCCAAATCCCAAGCGAGCCACCTGGCCGCGCGCACGCAGCCGCCTGCGTCGCGGACTTCAAAGCAGCCCACCACTGCCCATCCGGTCATCATGAGCTGCAGGCGGTCTAGGTAATCAAACACACCTTGCAGTTCAGAGGAGTCATCTTCAGCAGCGGCAATATCCATGGAGACGGTGTCGGAGACTTTGAGGCGCTTGGCACGGTGAACGCCAGCCGCAGCTTGCGAACGGACCCTGGACACTGGGACCACAGTGAACTGCTTGCAGTCAATCTCGCGCTTGAAGCGAGCCAACAGGTTGTCACACAAAGTAGTCGTGGGCCGAAGCTTGAAATGGTAGTAGGCCGTGAACGTGGAATACAGACGATCTCTGACAAAACCTTCCAGAGGGTCTTCCCAATCTTGGTCACCGATTCCTGCAGCAGCACGGTTGAGTTTGCGTTCCTGCGCGGCCGAATGCTTCCGCCACAATTCCACCAAGGCAGCACGGATGGTGCGATTGCCCCGGGTTGAGGCCACCTGGTCCACTATGTGGGTTTGGATTTCTTCTTTGGTGTCCACATAGAAAGCAAACCGGGAAGGAGTTTTGCCGTTGGTGGCCATCCATGCAATAAGGTCATCCGGGATGCCTTCTCCCTTAAGTTCTGCCTCAAACTCTGGGTCCATTGCAGCCCAAAGGTTTAGTCGAGAGCAGAGCCTAACGGCTGTGCGAAAACAGGAGCTGTCTGACGCGTGTCACCAAGCCCGTTAAATTAACCAAAATAAAAACTGGTGGTCAAAAATCAAACAACAGGTTCTGCGAGCATTGCTGAAAACCACAGCCAGGACATATACGTATACTTCCAGTCAAAGGCATCTGTCACTGCTGGAGGGATCTCCGGAAAACTTGACGACGATGATGGAATGGGTAACGATGGCACCATGCGAGACATGGCGCCAGCGCACCCAGTCCAATGTCAGCTACGCGCTTTTTTGTTGCGCGCACCCAGAGTCGGGCGATGCAGGCAGAGCTCATGGAGCTATGCCATGGCCAGTGCGAACAATGGCTCACGCAGCGCCGTGAAAAACACAAACTAGAATTAGGGCTCAGCATCAGATCTCAAGGCTAAGTCTAGCGCGCACTTGCGACACCACTTTGAAGTTGGGCATGACTTGGCAGCACTCTTTTTGCCACTTCCCACTTTGGCATTTTTGCAGGCGAGGCCACATCTGGTAGTAGAGGGCCCCGTGCGTCGGTGGAGTCGATTGTTGCTTGAGCACAGCCACTGCACTGTAGAAGCCGACGACGACGTAGCGGCCGAGGAGGAAGAGGAGGAACTGGAATCAGAGGCCCGGTCACTACCGTCAGGAGGAGTAGGCGGCAGCTTCCGCTTTCGAGTACAAGCAGAAAGCCAGGTTGTACTTTGCAAGGTGACATGCGTGGGATCCTTGTCAGAAGCCAAGGCACGTAGTGCATCCACCAAATGTGCCGAGCACGTGGCTTTTGCCGCAAAGGCGGCTTCTGCTTTCTCAGCTGCATAGCGCAAGGGCATGACTGCATTGCTGCTGCGCTGCGCTCCATCTGGCGCCGCCCAATTGCCCAAGGCATAGCGCTCAGGCAGGCCCAAGCGAATGGCGTGCGCTATAGTCGGCATGACTCGTCGACATGCACGCGCTCCAACTGAGGGTCCTTCTCGGAACCGGCCAGCTCTTGACTGGGCGCTAGAACTGACCCGAGGACATGTCGGTGCCCAACCATTCTGTGGCCTGCAGCAACGTTGCTCCCCTGATGCCCGGCATGAGATAAGAGCAGCTACCAGCAACCGTCTTCCAATCTTTGGCAAAGCTAGCAAGCACGTCCAGCTTCTTCTCGCAGAAAGTGAACCTAGCAACATACCAGCGGAAAGGTGGGGCAGCAAAGCCTCCTTGTCTAGCTTTTCCCCGGTGGGCCTCAAAAACAGCACCGTGCTCGGTCAGCTCAACGATGACAGAACGTTGCGCATGGCGAAAGCGGATGCTGCCCAACACCATGACGAGGCAGAACTTGGCGAAGAAGGACACCAGAGTGTTGCACGAATTTGCCCAACACCAGAGCGACAAGACGTCGCGCGGAGCGAGGACAACGACCTCTTTTGGAGCCGAAGACTGAGCATGTAACACTTGCTTTACCGCAACATTTGTGGCATGGAGCTGGACACCCAAGTGGTTTTCCAGAAAGCGTAGGCGATTGCGCAAGGCCACAGCGCCAGCCCTTGTCTTGGTGTGCGTGCGGACAAATGCACTCACCTGCATGACATTCGGAGCGGCCACATTGCCACTATTGACACCGCACCAGCCGCACCATTTTTCCCAGGTAGCGCACACTTGCACCAAGCCACGGTGGTCAAAATCAGACAGATGGTCTTGCAAAGACCTTAGCCACTGGCTCTGCAACTGCGGGGAAGGCAAGGCACGGTATCCAGGCCACAATGTACAAGCTTCATTCACCTGCAGGAAAGTGTGTACAAGTTTTTCGGCTGCAGCGGCTGCTTTCTTTTTATCTCGCTACTGGCCATCCACAACACTTAGAACCCTTACTGGAAGAGATGGAACGATGACAGGCGCAGCCTGAGCCACGACTGGAGGAGGCAGCCCGCAGGGCTTTCGTATTGGGTGGAGCTGCAAAGTTCCGGGACTGTCAGCCAAAAGATGCCCTGTTCGCACTGCAGCGCGGGAGAGATGTGCTTCAGCCACAACATGTAAGTCACGAAGGTTGCGGTCAATGGCAGTCACCTCCTCAAGGGAGTATCCAAAAGCGAATGTACGCAGAGTATTAATGCCATGTAGGGCGAGCTTCGTGCCCAGCTCAGCCACCTGCACCTGCGTCGCACATTCGGCAGCCAGGAAGGCCTTCAAACAGGCCTGTAGCGGCACGGCTACATGGCCCGCGGCTGAAGACATCGATCCCTGACAAGTAACAAGGAACTGAATCTAAGCCCAAGGACACAGAGAAGCTATCGAGTGCTTAGGAATTTAGATTCACCTGGCCTGCCCACCTGAAAATCAAGCAAGATCGTAGTATTGCACTGCTGAGATGAAAGATCTGAAAGCCTCGATGCTCGGAGCGGCTGATGATATGCCTAAATTACGCGCGCTCATGGAACCTGAGGCAACCTCCTGAACGACGCATCGAGCTCTGCACTGATTCTGTTCCCCTTCTATTGTCTTGCTGGCCAAAACCCACCTTGAATTTATGATCTTTACTCCAAGCTCATGCGCCAATGCTCGGGCTGTCTCTTCGGAGATCGGATCACCAACGTGGAGTTGGTCCATTGCCAAGAGTTCTGTGCGTCGGCCAGACTTCACAAGTTCAGGACTGAATGTGGATTGCCCATCCTCTGAGATTCCCAATTCAGGTTCTACGAGATAGATCTTGACACCGCAGAACGTAAATTCTTCACTTCGAAGGCTTTCGGCATGTTTGGGAGGAACAAAAATGGGACAAAACACATTCTGATTGGCATGGCTCTGAATCAACTCCTCTGGTGGTGGCATGAGCCACGATGCAAATTCCGAAAGGTCCATTGGCATCTTTGCCGGATCAGGAGGACCATCTGCTGAAGCATCGTGCATTTCATCATCTCCTACAACTGATGGGTCGTACTCCTCCATGTCAATGTCATCTCCAGCCCCGACGCCAATCCGATCTTTCGATGATACGCCAGGCACGATTCCCTCAGACTCAGGAGTGGGCACCCTATCACCTGCAATCATGGGTGGACGTTTCTGGCCGTATCGAACTCCTCCCCTTGGATGGGACGGATTGGGGCTTGATGCGTCAACATCATGAACAACTGATGCATCGGGACGCTTTGGGACATGTTCATGGGACTCAATGGACTCTTTGGGCAATGACTCTCTCATTCGCTCTCTCTCTCTCTCGGACTCGACCCACTCTTTGTAACGACGGCAACAGGGTGCAGAGTGCTTTCTTCCATGCCTACTGGCTGAGTTGCATGCCGAACAATTTGGCGTGGGCCCATGATCTTTAATCCAAGCACGGGGAGGGCCATTGACTGAGGGGAAGACTTTCTTTGATTCCCACCTGGTCGTGTTGGGGCTCGGCAATCTTCTCAAGATCAGGATTCGGCGGTCGGTCTTCTCGAGCAATCTCCTTAATCAAAGCAGGTGCGAGCGATGGGTCCCACACGACATGCGACAGCGGCTTGATCTCACTCTGAAACACATCATGGACATCTGAACCAATCTTTGATGAGACCACATGAGACAGACTGTTGGGTCGAATGAACAAATAAGCGGCCGGGATGAATCTTGTTGCCTCTGGGATGGCCGCTGCTAAAGAGTCTGGCACCCTGGCGTGGACCACACTACCGAACAGAGAGCATGAAGGGGCAGGTCGATTCTTTTGAACTACAAGCTCAATGGGAGAGCGTCGTGAACTCAGATTTTCATACTGACCTGTGGGCGCACCGATTCCGAAATGGTTGTGTGTTTGTGCAATATATTGGAGGACACAGTGGTAACATTCAGCGTTTCGGGTCAAGTCATATCCGTGTGCCCTCATGTCACTTCTAATGCAAGCAACCATTTCTTTGAATCGACGAACGTTTCTCTCGGCCAGGCCAACTGTCTCGTGTGCCTGAGGTGCGGCAGCACGGATCTGCAAGGTCAATCCTGTTCGTCTCAGGGGAGCACTTAACACAGGCTCACTGTCCACAAGGACTTCAACAGCAGTACTGCTAGTCTCATTGATCCCCAATTGACGGAAAAACTGTGTCGGGATTCGAATCGATAGATGCAGCGCCTAACAGACCTGTCCCTGCATCACTGAGGACCAGGACTTTGTGGGGCTCAATGAACATGAAATCAGCCTGGACCAAAAGTACTTTGTGACCTTCAGGCGTTCGACCCCGATCGGTGACTCTCGGATGACGGATGACCGAACGACTCTTCTGACAATGGCTGCACCGGTTATCGAATGGCAAGTGTCCTCTCCGACGATGCAAACTCAGCTCAAGCTCGACTTTTCGACTGAGTTGCTCATAGCTTGCTGGCGCAGCTCCTGATCCACTTGTTTCTGGATCATGTCATTCTTCCATGTCACCTGGGTCGGGCAGCGGAATGTCAACAAGATCAACTGATTCGGCTTTCAGGTGCAAAGACATGGGTCGATCATTCTCTGCACTTGGGATGTGATTGGGCTCTTCTGGATTGGGCTCATACGAAAACACTTCAGGCGAGTCGGCAAATTGCAACATCTTTACATGGTTCGAAGTCCGCGGCATGTTCGGCTCGAAGCGAAAGGACGTGTCTTGAGAAACAGTGATCTTAGACTTACTCTTTGGACTTCTGCAACCTTGATTGGATGGGCTTGTGTCGGACCAAGGCTCAACAATCTGGGCCTGCATCTCGACATCCTCTTTCGAGGAGGATCTTCCCCGGCGATGATGAGCTTGAAGCCAGGGAACATTTGCCCAAATGCTGCACTGCGTGCGCCTGATGTCAGAAACACGAATGGAACACGTTTCGGGACCAAATTCAAAAGTCGCACCCATTCTCGTGAGGCTGTGGACACTCAGCAAATTATGCTCGACTGGACCGATTACAGCTCTGACTTCGTATCTAACCAACTTCGACTTCTCATGATCATCGTATTCGATGAACGTTGGAAAGAAAACCTCGAGCATACACTCACGACCGATGGCGACTTGTTCCCCTGATGCGGTCCGAAACTGGATGGGATTCTGCATTTCCCTTTCTCGGATGACTTTATATGCTTTCAATGCATGAACAGAGACAACACTCTTGCTGGCGCCGGAATCAACTAACCACAAATATGGATCATGGTCTTCGGTGGATTGGCACATGAAAAACGGATCCAAAGTTTGGGATGGGGATGCGAACATCGACAAATGGCCACCTTCCTCAACATCAGGTTCAGACCAAATCTCACTTCCAGCCTCAGACTCCGGCTGTTGTGAAAATTCTGTGGCCCTCTTCCCCTTGGGTTTACCTTTTGAGCCCTTCTCACCTTTCTCTCCTTTCTTACCTTTCTCCTTCCCCTTTCCCTTTCCTTCTCCTTTGGATCCCTTGTCACCGAACCCTTTTCCTCCCTTCGGCTTCTTCGGACAATCGACGGCGAGATGGCCTCGCTCATTGCAGTGGAAGCAGGTGCGTGTCTCTGATCCTGATCCTTTTCCTTTGCCAGTATTGGCATGATCCTTCCCTCCTTTCTCCTGAGAACCTTTCCCTTTCTTCCCTTTGTCCTTCCCCTTGCCCTTATGATCGAAACCTGAAAGGCTTGCAATCGGCTTGCCATTGAGGTCGGACCAAATGCGCTGTTGTGCTTCGTACCGCAGAGCGCAATCGACATAGGTCTGGAAAGATTCGTTTGGGGCATGGAACCACGGTCACTCTCACAGGTGCGAAACTCCATGGCCGGCAGAATGGATGGAACGCATCATGTAAAGGCTGCTGCTCGGGCAAAAGTCAGGACTGGAGCCAGGGGAAACGCAAGCAAAGAGAGGGTTTGAAGCGCAGGACACAAGCGTGATAATCTGGCCATCAATATGGATCACGACATCGTAATGGCCATTCCCTGTGTGTCACTCACGCAAATCGCTGAAGCAATCCTCAGACAGAACCTCCATTCCGTTTTGGCTCTTGAGCCAGATTGTACAAATGTGCGTTGTGATGATAGCCGTGCACCCAAGCCCAAGACTAAACACGATCAGTAAATGGTACCGCAATCTTATGATTCAGCACAATTACTTTGATTGACCTTTGCTCCTCGTGATACTAGCACGCATGTGAAAAAGACAAAGCCATTCATAACAATCTTTTTGTGGAAACCAGTGATTCAAGTAGGCTACATATTCTTGCAGCCCGGTGTCATTGTATCCAAGAAATAGTGTCCGCAAGGATGCACGGCCATTAATTTAAACGTCCATCACCTAGGATGCGCGAGTCAAATGTACGGAACCCTTGGAAAAAGCCACCAATCAAATGCGGCTATGGGTCAAACCTGAAAGCCTGCTGGTAAATGGACAACATAACTGAAACCTGTGTGTTCTTTCTTGAGCTACATCAAATGTTTCCGATTAAAAATACAAGCATTGATGCCACATATGACCTTGCTAAGTGTTCGGCATTTCTTCGAATGAACCACGCTGTCTTGATTTGCCTTCGTTCATCCTCATTGCAACGCAAGCTAGGCAATATGTTGTAAGCAGGTCAATTAATGAACAAAAAATGTGAATCCTGTTTTTGTTGTAGGAACAAATGAACCTACGCAAGTCTTCATATGAAACTATGAAACTGAGCAACTCTCCACATACCTGAAATATTCGTGCTGCCAGGTGTCCCTCCATCTGCTAGCAAGTCCAGCTGCTTCTATGCTTCTGTGTGTGTGCGGCTCTTGATTTCAGCGTTCAACACCTTGAGTTGGGCTCCATCATTGCATTGCTTATAGTCAAACAAACCAAACAACAAAAGTCCAACAAGCAATGAAACAACTTGACCATATATCATGTCTCTTGCCAACAGCTTCACCGAAAGCAGCTGGCAGCTACCAAAAAAATTCAACATGTGTGATATCAATTCACTCTCATTGATAGTGTGTTTGACACGTCGCAGCTTTGGTCAAACGGGGCAAACAAGAACTGGCTGACTTGGCGCGGTGGATGTGTGGTTCGCACATCGGCACAGCCAAGGAAGTTCGGCCTTGGATGATTTTTTGGAGATCAGTTCAGCTGGTTTTGCAGCACTCTTGCCGGAGTCAACCTCTGCTGAACGAAGGGTAGCGCGACGTAGCAACAGTCTGATAGAACACAGAAATGGTGCAATGCTGGGATTTCCCTGCTTAGTTGCTTTGCCGTTAAAAAATCAAAACAACCAAACCATTGTGGTGCGTTGCGACGCGCTTTTTTGAACCAACAAAC